GTTTCACAAATGTGACGCCATGTTTTTTTCAATGTGTTTTCAGTTTTCACATTGGCCTATAAAATCATACTATATTTTGTATGAGAATGCCTCCACTGAAGAAGCTGCCCGTAGAATTTTTCTACACAATAATTTGATCAGATCAGTGCCTTCAATTAGTCCAAAATGTCCAAGGCAGATGGCTTTAATTAAAACTGGTAGTAGTGGTAGGGGTGACGAACAATGCTTCAGATGCCCAGCTCAAAAAGGTAGAGAAGGTTTTTTTGTGAAAGGACACGACACATTCTTTGAACACAGTCAGTTGACCTCACGTAATAATTATGTGAGGTCAACTGACTGTGTTCAAACTAATAGTAATATTGTTGAACTTTTCTTCTCCTGGAGCTTCAAAGAACCAGTAGTTCATACTGTGTCTCTGACTGCGTTATGTGAAAACACATTTATTCAGTGGTTTGCTTACTTTCGAGACGTTTGTTCACACAAGCTGGTGGAAAATCCCTTTCAGATAGGTGGTGTTGGACAGCATATATGTAGAAATAGACAAGCGTCTATTACCAAACTCTTAAAGGAAAAACAACATGTGGAAAGTTGTGCAACAGAGGTGGATGTTTTGGGGGAGTAGAGTAGTAGAGTAGTATATAAAGCCACAGGGAGATTTTTGGAATTAGTACCAGACAGAACTGCTGCCACCTTTGATGAAGATTGTATCAATATCATCAGAAAGCAACACAATAATCTGATCAGATCAAAGGACCCGGACCGCAACACTGCGGTATTAACCCAACTTGGTACATGTATTGTTGTATGGTCTAGAAATGTGTCTTTACTGATTTTATAAATGTGTATTGTGTGAAAAAGTCATAAAGTGCCTTCTCCTTTTGTAACAAGAGTAAATGTAAAAGGAAGACACTAAATAAATAAAATGTATTATTAAAATTGATTGATAATGGATTCAATTCATCTTTATGTTACAAATGTACCAGTATTGACCGTCTGTTGTCTGTATCGAGTAGGCTATCATGTATGTCTCAATGTCTGTAAGAATTGAATAAAAATTTTAAACTGTAAAGAATGCTCGTCTTTAGGCCATTCTCAAAGGGGGGACATTAACCTGTTCATATCATATGCACAGTAGAATTGTTATTATTGTAAATGGGCTGATTCAACAATGTCATGCTCATAACTGTGCCTGAACTGTAACACTAGTACCAGTAACAGGGAACTGCTGCTTTTGCTTTCTTAATCCTTACTATTCTCATTCTTCTTCTTTTGCATGTTTGTCACTCTCTTGTGCACTGCTATTTCCGGAATGCTTTCACTTTGATAGTCGTAGCAGACTTTATACTTTATGCTGTTGAAGCTAGAGAGGTGAGCAGAGTAACTTGTAAGCCTGGGAGTGGGAGGTGATAACTTTGGCAGATATATGGTTATGAATTTTAAAATTATTAATAGAAAGGCATGGGAGGGGGGGGGGGGGGGGGGGGGGGGAGAAAGATGGACTCACACTCACTGTACAGATAATATGCTCTATAACAAACTGCTGGCAACAGTAAAGTAGAGGAAACTGTTGGTGATAGTCATAGTACTAGACTAGTAGTTGGGGCAAGCGCTCACCAGGCAGCTTTCCAAGCAACCGCTCCCGACTGCCTTTAACTTTAATCTATGTTGCAACTCTCTACATGTAATGTATGGATGACATCAGAAATGGGCATTCCGAGAGACTTCTTTTGTGATTCGTAGAACAAGACTTATGAGTTTTTCGAGCGCAGTCGATTGCTTACTGATTTGTAATAATCTTATACATTGTACTTATAACAAGACTGTTATGAGTTCTTTGAGCAGTCGATTACTGCTTACTAATCTGTAATCACTTGTTGAGGCCCATTTCGTATTTTTCTACAGCATTCAGGTTTGTTGCGCATCATAGGCCTAATTAAATATTACGCGCAGTCACCTGATCACAGTCAAAAACATATTTCGGGTGACCAATCAAGACTACTTTTCAGTTTCAGCCCCCCCCCTTCATATCAACCGACCAGATTCTAGATCTAGACCTGTGTCTGTGGAAAGTTGGGTGGGTATGAAAACGCTGTACTTCACTGTTCTGCGTGAGGGGCAGTCTAACCAAATACCATGTATCCCGATGTCTAGACTTGTCTTATATGCAGGCTGTCTGTAACGAAAACTTCCCCTTGTCATTGTCAAGCTTTATTTGGGGGAGGGTGCGTGGGCTACATTGTTATATCTAGTTCTGATCTTCCGCAGTGATTGGTCTTGTAAGAAGGCGTATTCAAAAAAGAATCCTGTCTCATACACAAGAGTTGGCAGAACTGTGGAGTTACAAATGCATTATTATGAAATGTATGTATGAAGTGGCCACACTTAGCCTCCGATAGAGGTAGAATGAAAATCTCCTTACCTATTCACTCAAACTCAAATCTTTTTGAAAAGAAGTGAACGACAGCGATGTCACATTATTAGTACGAGTAGGCTACTACAGCCTTCACAATATATGTAATTTATCAAGCATTGTGACATTTTGTGCCAGCATCAGAGCATTCTGGCGTAAGCTGACAAAACACCTTTTTTTTCCACAGCAGTTTCGAGGAAAACATTTTTTTGTCAGCGTAACCATTGATAAAGTTATTCTGAAATTTGAATTCTACCGTGATCTATTAAAGAATTTTTGAGCCAAGGTGAAAAAAAATAGGCGTTTTCTCAGCTTACTGCTGACCTGTGATTAATATTATTGTGTCAGAATAACCTAAGAGGAATGTCAGTTCAGGCAGAAGTAAAAGATGATGAATGGCCATTGCATGAGATGAAAAAAAGAAGAACCCGCAAGTCACTTCATAACATAGACTCAATGCAAACACTGCTGGCCTATGAGCAGTACACTAGCACCTGTCGTGCAGTAATTACTCATATGCAACAGATATGATTCCTGTACAGGGAGGGTTTTTTTTTAAATCGAGTATCAAGTCTCCATCTGTGTTGTGGAACACTGTAACTGTACCCCTCTCAGTCTGGATTGGCACAAATTGATTATTTTAGTAAGGTGTTATGGCGCTCGCAACTGCATAAGGTCATGTGAACGCCAAGGGGTGGATGTCAACAGAGAAGTCCTTACAGGGAATCACTCGACAAATAGCAGTTCACAAGAGAGTGACAAACATGCAAAGAAGAGGAAAAAATGACAGGAGCCAAAATGACCCACACTGAAGATGGCATGGATCTCTCAAAGTCAAAAACGCTAATAAAATTATTTGCCTTAAGAAATAGATGGAAAAGATCCCACCATAAACACAACAGACGTGACCCCTACTACATACTAAGACTTAGAGGAATGTCAGTTCAGGCAGAACTAAAAGATGATGAATGGCCATTGCATGAGAGCAGACTAGGTCACAATCTGTCCACTCTGTTGTGGCCACAACAGACTCAAACACTGCATGCACACTAAAAAGTGGGAGAGTCTGCGATCTGTGAATGTGGACACAACCAAGAGGATGCCAACCATATCCTTCAGCACTGCCCGCGCTATGCCACACTTCGTACACAGATGTGGCAGGATGTGACCCCCCTTGAGAGAAAGCTCTATGTAGGTAGCGTAAACACGGCCTCGCGGGCACTCGCGGCTTTCCGACCGCGTGGTATCGGTGAAATCGGGGGCAATTCCGATTGCTGTTTCTTTGCTCTTTCGCTATAAAACACCAAATGCCGTACACCTTATAAAAGTTCAGCTTTTTCTCGTTACAATGGTGTAAGTTGTTTATATGTCCGATTATTAGGAGCTGGAGAATCGCCGACGAAAGCGAAGCCCCTCGCTGTCGGAATGCGTGGTCGGCCGGTTGAAAAATTGACACGCGTGCATTCAAATGCTTCGCGGAACGAGGGATGATTAAATACCGTCCTTTCATTGGCGGAGAACTGTAGAGCTATAAACGGGCTTTCCCGTGATATATGTTTAACCTTTGGCGTCTAAATAGAAAGCTTTTAAAAATACCGTTAAAATGTTTAAAGATCACTTTTTACACAAAATATGTCAAATACCGGCTTATAAAAATAGTAATTAAAAGATCAGTTTATTTTCTATTAGAATAAAGTAATAAACTTGGAATTATTTTTCATCAATCCTTCCGCAAAACTCAGAAAGCATGTGACCCCGCATTCGTGGTACACTACAGTATAGAGCCGACTCGCTTGCCGCGGGGGCTGATCCGGCGCGTTGGCTCGGTGTTTTTGTCGAAATAACGACAGATCATCATGTTTGAGGCGATAAAATACTGATTTGTAATGATCTCAGTCTTGAAAAAAATTAGGCTCCATATATTTGTTATAGTGATTTTACTCTGTTAATGTGGAGATGTTTAGTGCTCTTGGTACTCTTTTATTGTCTGTCAAACATGGGGTTGTAGCCAGTGACTGACTTTAACAAATTTGATCAAATTTTAAACAACTACAATTTTCTTAAAAATTGACGGAGAGGTTAAAGAAAGGTACCAAAATGCTCAGTGGATATAGGCCTTTCAAATGAAACATAAATTTGGCATACAGCTAGTTTGAAAATTTAGTTTCTTGTACCTACTCTATGGCAGTCTCTCAGATTTGAAGCGGACAGCACAGCTTGAGCGCGAAATTGGACTGTCTAGCCGCTGTCATCGAGAACGAGGAAGAAGAACAATAGTAAGGATGAGGAAAGAAAAAGCAGCAGCAGAGTATTCCTAATAATGCAACTTTGAAAAATTGACACGCATGCATTCAAATTTTTCGCGGAACGAGGGATGATTAAATACCGTCCTTTCATTGGCGGAGAACTGTAGAGCTATAAACGGGCAGTGGTTCTGTGTTGCAGAACCAAGTACCCTTCTCAGTCCGGATTGGCACCAATAATACTAATAGACAGGTCACTTCCTAAGTGATATAAATATAACATTTACAGTTACAGTTAGAGAAGCAGAATCACAACAAAAGCAACAACAAAGAAACAAAACACTTTCTGTACTGTGACATAAATTTATTGGAACAGTCTCAATTTAGATGATGCCAATCTGAAATAGAGAAAAAAGAAAAAACATAAATAACTGAATGCAATGATGCTATTTTATTCACTTTTGCTAAATGACATGCTATGGGTAAATTTAACATCTACCTGAGCCAAACTAAGACGAGCATTGAGAACTTCCCAAATGATTCAAGAACGCCCCTATGGAATTCAAACAAAAGACATCAGCACTATAACCCCATTAACTGGGCTAACAGCATGCCTTTACTAAACAATTTCTAGTTTGTAATATTAAAAAGTGAGAAAATGAGGGAAAAAATCCAATTAAATTAAAAGACATGAAAAAATGTGAACATATATAAACTTGATTATATTCATTACTCTTGTGCGTAGCAGTAAACTCAACAGCATTAGTGAACATGTGAGCGAGAAACAAGGAACAGCATCCTCCAAAAAAGGGAAACAATTTGAATGAGCAAGTCTGGGGGTTGGTTTTTTTTTGTTGTTGATTTTTTCACCTGTACAGTACATAACCAATGGCAAAACCATTCTTTTTTTGTACATTTCCAATCAAATGCCACATACGCAAAAACCTCTGTAGGCTGGACACTTGTAATCCGGGAAAATACTACTTTAGTACAACTTTATTGAGCAGTGCTTGATTGTGGAAGAGAAAATATGGCCATAAATATTATTTCAGCAGTAATTGTTTTGAGTGTCTTATTATTATCCCTTTTGTCTCAACACTAACAATTCTGACAGAAATCTGGACCTCCAAACTACATTCCACAATCAACCAAGTCTTTTTAGGGGGGTTCTAGACAAAACTTATTCAAATAGCAACAGCAGTAGACATCTAACAAAGTAAGTTTTCTTCAGTTTCATTATTTCATTTCTAATGCACAAGTGAAAAATAATGTGAGCTCAAATCATGGTCCTGATTTGAGCTTTCTTTATCTGAAAGTAAATCAGAGATGCCAACCACAGAAGACCGAAATGAGTAATGGGAAATATGAAAATGTGTATTTTCAGGGGAAAATGTTTATCCGCCACGACCGACCGACCAACTAGTAAAATGTTAAGGGTGTCCAGCAATATTTCCTGAAAAAAAAATTCCCAGCTCACCGGCTCGAAAAAGGGAGCCCACACGCATACAACACCCTTTGGTGTTGCCATGTATCCAGTCAACAACATGTCGGTGTTCAGTGTCGTACTGGGGTCTTGTTTGACTTAAGTATTTCAGCCTATTATATTATTTTCCTCTCATTATAACTGACAGACTAAAATTATTGCTCATATTCAGAGAAGAGCAATAACTTGAATGGTTCAAGTAGACCCACGCAGTGTGAGAGTTGTAACAACTGTGGGAGGGCAAGATGCAGTGAAACTGAAAATCTGCCAGTCTTGAACAGAAAGCTACAACATACACCGTAGGTATAATTTACTATCACCCATTCAATGAAACGCGAACACTTTATCTCAATAACACAGATTTGCAAAGTATGAAGGGTCCCGATTCTGCACACGGCCTGCACCAACGTGCACTTTGCACAGAGCTCTAATCAAAATACTGAAATTTGCTTGTAAGTTTTTGCCCTCTGGTGTTGCCTTCACACCCCCCCCCCCCCCCCCCAGTGTATCTTAAAAATAATCAATAATACACTCCCCTCTCCCGTAGTCCTATACTTCGCAGCGCCGTTACTCCCACCAAAGACGGTCTTTGCTTACACAATGCCGCTATTTATGATCCGAAAGCGCGCAGGTTCAATGACCGCAGAGATGCCAACCACAGAAAACCGAAATGAGTATTGGGAAATATGAAAATGTGTATTTTCAGGGGAAAATGTGTATTCCCCACGACCGACCGACCAACTAGTAAAATGTTCAGGGTGTCCAGCAATATTTCCTGAAAAAAAATTACTAGCTCACCAGCTCGAAAAAGTGAGCACACACGTGTACAATATATACATGTATCCAGTCAACAACATGTCAGTGTTCAGTGTCGTACTGGGGTCTTGTTTGACTAAAATATTTCAGTCTATTATACCGGTAATATTTTCCTCTCATTATTACGTAAAAAATAAATCCTGCTTTGAGAGTTCGGAAGGGCCTAGAACAAAAATTTCGACTATCAAGAACCAGTCTGGGTGTCATGATTCATATTATGAACTAACAGACTCAAATTATTGCTCAAATTCAGAGAAAAGCAATAACTTGAATGGCTCAAGTAGACCCATGCACTGTGAGAGTAGTAACAACTGTGGGAGGGCAAGATGCTGTGACACTGAAAATCTGCCAGTCTTGAACAGAAAGCTACAACATACACAATACACTGTAGGTATAATTTACTATCACCAGACCTGCCACTCTATGAAACCTCAAAATCAGGATCTCAGTTGCAGGGAGAAAAAAATCGGGATTTGGTGGAAAAAAAATCGGGATCAACAGCAAATCACCTAGGTGACTGCCAAGCTGACTTAAAATTTTTCCAGGGGTGTCCATAAATTCCTTGGCCTATATGCCCTCAGTGCATCTTTGTTTGTGAGCGTGTGTGCGTGCGCACGCGTGTGTGCGTATGTGCAAGTTATTATTTTGTGTAAATCCCAAAGCATCGCGTCAAGCACTCCTAGTCCAAGTGTCTATAACCCCCCCCCCTACCAATAAGTCCCGAAATACATGAACTTAAGTTGACCCCGTCAACGGACGGTTCCCGACACGCAGAATTCACAAGGCGAAGAAATGTCACGTCACGTGAATGCGCGATTGAAACAATTTATTTACTAACGGGTCCGACTAACTGCACGTTCACACAAAACACTCGGATGAGCGACAGTCGTTCTACTTCTAGGATAACGACGGCGGCCGACCGACCAAATGTACCAACAAATTTCTTATCCCGCATGTGTTCAAACTAAAGCAACGACAACATCCGTATGTTAGTCTTGTCATCGCAGTTATAGTTAGTTGTGTAAGGGTTAGAAAGACTGTCGCTCGTCCGAGTGTTTGATGTGAACGCGCAGTTACCAGACCTCAGACAAGGCTTGTTTTGAAAGTAACAGCGGAACTACGAATATTATAGATTATTAAATGTCCCAAATTGTAACAGTTACCAGGCTATCATCGGAGAATTCTGAGTGCGGGAAAAGATCACACACAACTTGGGGCGAGTCAACTACTAAATGCGGCATCGATATTTCGGGAAATAGTGCTCTGAGTTCCAACTGACAAAAAGTTCGACGGATGCTTTCCACGATAAAGTAGAAGGCAGAGTAAGTTTTTAGAAAGATCCGGCACAACAGAAGACTGGGACAAAAAAAAAATCGGGATACACGCGATAGAAATCGGGAAAATCAGGATGCTTGTGATTTGGGGCAAAAAAATCGGGATATCCCGACTAAATCGGGACGAGCGGCAGGTCTGTATCACCCATCCAATGAAACGCGAACACATTATTTCAATAACACAGACTTGCAAAGTAAGAAGGGTCCTGATTCTGCACACGGCCTGCACCAACGTGCGCTTTGCAGAAAACCCCAATCAAAATTCTGAAATGTTCTTCCAAATATTTGTCCTCTGGTGTTGCCTTCACATCCTCCCCATAGTATCTTAAATCCCCAAAAAATAAATAATCTCCTCCCATATTCCGTAGTCCTATACTTCACAAGACCGTTACTCCCACCAAAGACGGTCTTTGCTCACACAATGCCGCATTTATTTATGACACGAATGCGCCCAGGTTCAGTGACCGGTCACGATGGCGAGCCAGACAATCTAGCAATCGGACGACGCTTGTATTTTCTTTTCTTTTTTTTTCCACAAGTGACAGCACAGCGACGAGTCCGAGCATTCATTAAATTTTATTTGCACGGCGACATTGCGTTTACAGTTTACACTGCACAACCTGCATGTCACAAATGTTGCGTTAGCAGACAACTGCTGGCAAACTACTCGGTGGTAACGAAAGCGAAAGCAGATCTTGATTTTCCCGATCGAGCCTCGGTGTCACATACGCTTCCGCCTGCTGCCATAGCTGCCTATTCGCGTGAAAGTGAAACGTACTCTCCGGACGCGGAAAAGCTGAACGAATATAATATCACGATCGCGGCAAAAATGAACTTACTGACCTTATCGGACTTGGTTTTAAAATATTCCAGTTCAGCGATACTGATACTATTTTGACAAAAGATGGGACTTGAGATAATTAGGTTTACTCGCCCAAGCTGAATCTCGCATTTTTCGCATTCCAGGATGCGTATTTTTTCGTCAAAAGTCGTATTCGCGTATTTTCGCCAAAAAATAGTACTAAAATACGTAAAATCGTACTGGTTGGCATCTCTGTGACCGGTAACGATGGCGAGCCCGACAATCTTAAAATCGGACGACGTTTGTATTTTCTTTCCTTTTTTTCTCCACAAGTGACAGCACAGAGACGAGTCCGAGTATTGATTAAATTTTATTTGCACGGCAACACAGCGTTAATACTGCACAACCTGCATGTCACAAATGTTGCATTATCAGACTACCGCTGGAAAACTTCTCGGTGGTAGCGAAAGAAAAAGTAGATCTCGATCTTTCCCTATCGAGCCTCGGTGTCACATACACTTCCGCCTGCCGCCTGTTCGCGTGAAACGTATTCTCGGACGGGGGAAAGCTGAACGAATATATAATATCACAATTGCGACAGGCAAATATAAACTTACTGACCTTATCGGACTTGGTTTTCAAATATTCCAGTTCCGCGATACAGATAGGCCTACTATTTTGACCAAAAAATGGGACTTGAGATAATTATATATAGGTAAATCTAGTATTTTTGGCATTCAAGGATGCATATTTTTTAAAGAAAAGTATTTGCGTATTTTTTCATGAAAAGTATTCACGTATTTTCAGCAACAAATCGCACTAAAATACGTAAAATCGTACTGGTTGGCATCTCTGGTAAATACACCACAAAACAGGGACATACCTTGTTGGCAACGTCCAAGGCATCATAATCGGAAGCTAGTCGTACGTATGCTTTCTTCTCACAGTCAGGTCTGCAATAAATGAAAAGCACAATAATTCAACGATTCTCAAAGCACTTGACATGAATGATGTGCATGGAAACACAACATGGAGTTAAAACAAAATGAAAGAATTACACATGATCATCAAGAGCCTGCTCCGCACTTTCATACCATGCTGTTTACTCCTCGTCCCATGAACAGTGTCGCTAGACTCTTGGTAAAGTGGTAGGCAGGCATATTCATGGTGTAGGCGCCTTGTTTTTGACCTACTACTATATGTGGTCTTCCTATGGCCTGGAAAAAATGCACATGTCTCCGAACCTGTACTGTTTCTGGAAAACTTTTCTAAAAGGACTTTGGGCTGCAGCATATCTTACCATTTAGACATACCTGGTAGGCTTACATCACGGAATTGCACAACTTTATCACATCTTAGCGTAACAGATGCAAAATGCGTCGTATCAAAGAGTTGATTTAAAGAGGCATAAATATGTACAGAATAAAATTCAAAGATATTAGCGATTGAAGGAAGTGAGGTTGCCTGCTTTCAATGTAGAAATTAGCGAGAAAATGGCCGTCAAAATCTGGTAACCCCAATAGCTAAAGAGTATTTGAAAACTGAAAAATGACATGTTTTGTGCCTTTAACACATTACACCCTGAAGGTCTGGACGGGAACCCCATTCCAGCAAGATCCTAAGCAAGGGGAAGGAACCCACCTCCCATGAATACAAGCATTTAAAAATCACATTAACAAAAAAAATACCACACAAATTCCAAATATCCTGAAAAAAATAAAAGTTAAAAAGAAAAATGTGATGCATCATGGTGAAATCAGGCGCTGGTCAAAATAACGAAATAGAAGAAAACGGCATTTTTCTTCCCTTTTGGCAACTTCTATGGAATTTTTATTTTTTGGCTCCGCACATTTTATGTCCATTTAAAAACACATAGCTGTTTGACATTTTACTGAACATTGTTGATTAAAGGTACGATAATGTAAATTAACAGTTTCCAATGACTCAAGTTTTGGAAGCCGTTCAACTTTGGCGGCCATTTTCTCTCTAATTTTACTTCTGAAACCAAGTGACCTCACCAACTTCAATTCGACATATCTCGACTTCTATTGAGGATACGTGATTAATGTTTTCACCAAAAGCAAGACAAACGAACAAGCTTTAAGATGGATACCAGTAACTCCACATGCCCAAAAATGGACGAGCGCCTGATTCCACCGCGTCGTGACACAAATGAAGATAGTTTCAGAGAAATATAACTTTATGTATGCGCAAACTATTGGAAATGTTTTAACTTTAGATCAATCTGGGTGTCCGACCCGTCACACTCACTTTCAGCCATCAGAAGAAATCTTACAAATATTTTTAATTCTGAAATCAATGTATTTTTAGAACCCACTCTGACCAGGCGTCTTTAGAAACAAAGTATCGCCTTAACAAACTCTGGAGCCGAGATTTTGTTTTACATAGATATCGCAAAATGTTTCTTCTTCTATTTGACACAGAAACTTAAATTTTCAGGTTAGTAGTTTTAGCAATAGAGCCGATCGAAGTGCGATCGTGTTTCTGACACTTTGAAGATGTCTCGACTGGTTGAAAAGCGACACAATTGAGTTTGAGAAAGGACATAACAATGGATTTGAGCAAGAACAAGCAAATGATGAATCAGACATTGATGAAAACATTTTAGCAAGAGTCTGGGGCCATTCATATTTATCAGATGCAGAATTTAGATCTAGAGGCCCAACCGCGATGTTGAGAGTGAGACTGACGGGTCGGACACCCAAAGTGAACTAAAGTTAGAAAACCTGTAACAGTTTGTGCATACATAAAGTTTTATATTTCTGAAACTACCTTCATTTCCCCTTACTTAGGATCTAGGGGTAGACTTCCCATCCAGATCCTTAGCGTATAACGAGTTAAAAGCTGTTTTCTGAAAACTTTATTTTCAGACCCCTGAGCCCTTTGAAGCACAAGTTCCCAAAAAGAAATAGAATATAATTTTTTCAAGCAAAAAGTTAACTTAAAAGATATGTTGACCCACAAACATTATTTCCCAAAGCTACATACACACTAAACTTTACAATACAAAAACCATGAACACAGTTCACACATTTATTTGAGCCTTTTTCTTGAGGAAATACAGACCCATGTTATTTACCTGATGAGAGTGTTGACTTTTGCAACCTCAATGTCGTACAGCTTCTTCACAGCCATCTTGATCATTGGCTTGTTGGCTCTCTTGTCAACGATGAATACCAGAGTGTTGTTGTCCTCAATCTTCTTCATAGCAGACTCAGTGGTGAGGGGGTACTTGATCAAGCAGTATTGGTCAAGCCTGTAACAAAAAACAAAAAGAGAACTCATCTCGTTATTGAGAAGACAAAAAACTAGACACACTTACCAAACATGTGGAAAAGTGGTCTCTACAGCTGAACACGTTCTCGAGCATTGATAACATGACATCTCCACCGGCAAATGTATGTGACCTAAAGATCCCTGTATGACCATTCCAAGTCTGTTCATTGGATCACCTGAAATAGAACAATGGCGGGCGCGCGCATCCAGTTGTTTTTCTCTGTTCCCCTGTAACATCACAATGTGGGTATTTTTTCTCGCCTCGGGGTGTTCGTGTCTCAATGGGAAAAAAATGTTTTTAATTGTACTGCAAGCTAGATCGAATTAAATTATAGTATATTTTATAGTTGGCATGGTCTAAAGTCATCAAAGAAAGCTTAGCCATTGTTTAGTCACACTACCAACATATTCTTAACACTTTGCAATCACAAGGCTCATAGAGTAAAAACTCTTGCCATCAAAGACAAAGGCATTTTGGGGAAAATCCAAAGAAACCGATTTGCGAGATGAGGCGGCAAAGTATTAAAGATCCCATGTTGTGATGCGCAAAATCGTAATATGTACACCAAAATTTCAATGACAAAACAGTAAATCTGACTGCAGAAATGATTTTTCCACCCAAAAACACATAGGGTAGCCACGTTTCTAACACTCCAATGAATTACTGAGATATCGTCGAATTTCTTACAGCATCTATTGCACGGTTCACTTTTAGGAGTATTTTCCTATGAATGTGGGTCATCCATATTTTGCTAACCTTTACAACACCATAACTTCTATTTATTTATGAATCGATTTTAACACTCGTCCGGCGGGGGCCGGGTTTACCAAGTTTATGCTGCCATACAAGCCTATTTCGGCATCTTGCCTTCATTCTGGTGCCGTGTCATTCTGGCCCCTGGCTCAGCGCATGCGCGTCGAGCACCATCTCCCGTTCGATTCGGGACCGGCATCGGATCCGCATTCACGCAGCTTAACCCTCTGTGTGTGCATCACAACTACATGACTCATACCTCCCTTCCGCGCGCATCGCGACCACCGGTCGTGATCAAATATGAGCATAGAAACTATACCGCTGACATGAGAATAGCCATTTTTTAAACTGCTGGTGACTACAGTCCACCAGCGTAATGTTTATTAGTGCCGCAGGCCGCGCATTTGGAGTTTTTTTTATCGGCAATTTTCTGGAATACAGTTCATTCAAAATGTCGGATTCATCAGCTGATTTAAACACAGATTTACCCAACACTTTTCTGGAATCAGGCGACAGTGATAAAGAGTTTGAAGGATTAGGTCCTTAAACAAAAGATTTAGATCAACGTGTGAATGATGGGGATATCATTTCGTAGATCAAGCGAGGTCTTAGGCCCAGAAGAGGACGTCGATATTCCTGCTGATCTCCAAGTAAGCTGGACAAAAAATTATGAGGATTTTGATACCAACAACAACAAAAAACAACAACATCGGACCAGACATAAGCTTTGTTCATTATTTAAGACACATTTTTCCTTCTTACTGTAATTAGAAATTATGATAAATAAGATAAGAAAGATATGAGCTTTTTTTATAACCATGTTGAAAATTAGCATTTTCTAAAACAAACCCTCCACTTAAGGGGAGTAATGGTAAAAATGGCTTAGAGCTAAGAGGGTTAAGTGTGTGCATCAGTCTGCTTGAGTTTGTGGCCTTCTTCTAGACCCGCCTGCGTTGGTTCGTAACCGAAACAGACGTCTCATTCAAAACACACCAAGCTGGTTGCTCTAGATGTTCGTCAAATGAAATTATAGAACAAATTGACTCACTTAGACATGAGCTCGAAAGGATAATCAGGAAACAAAGACTTCCATTTTTCTACACAAAATCTTTCAAATGAGCTTGATTTTGTATGAAATGATACTACCTGATAAAAAATAAGCTTGTTTGAAAGTTTTAAATACCATTGCGAAGGTAAAAAGAACAATTAGAGGGCAAAACATTTTGAAATTGACCTATATTATCCCATTTCGAACCCCAGGTCATTCATAACAACATGAGAGCTGAAAGAGGTTATTCGAATGGGCGTAACTTCTCGCAATGTCTTATCAGCTTATGAGAGGGGGTTATTCATGTGTTCGTAACACTTTATAAATAGAAAGCTATAAAAGATAGAGCGTTATTTTCATCATCGATTAACACACTCCCACGGTATTCATGGCGAAAACGCACGTTTCCAGGTGTGCTCGCTGTACATCAACAGTACACACTGAATGATCCCAGCGGTCTGCCCTGAACATCCGACATAATCGGATACTGATAAGATTCGCCTCTCAGCACAGACGCACGACAAGACTTAAAATTCAAACAGCATAAATCTTAGAATTCTTAGAAGTACCAAATATAAAGTGGCTAAAGCGAAAAATTAAATTTCCATTGGCATCGCTACGTCATGATTCTCACACCTAAGACTATCACTTTCCATTCGAAACTTATTTTTTCTTTCTCATTTCATCTCAATATCAAGATCTAGACTGACTTAGATCTGGCCGTCTTCTAGACCAGCTTAGATCTGGTCGCTAGTCTCACGATCAACACCTGGCTGAAATTAGAAGCAGCTGTTTATTTACAGCTCCAAAAACAGTGGTACAGATAAACAGACAGAGGTGCAGATTCAGAGAACTTGTGAAGTAGCAGTCTACAGACTAAGATCAAAGACTTCACATACTGGATGATGCAAGATGAAGAAATACAGCCAATATTGTCCAAGACGGTCATCATAGCCTTGGAGAAAAGTAGTTGTCTTTGGTGGATGTGTTAGTGTCATTTTCCAAACAAAAAAACAAACAAAACTTAGCTGTACACAAAGAACTCACTTGTTAGTCCTGTTCACACTCTTGCGAGGATACTTGGGATTCCTTGGGAGCTTCATTGTTTTGGGCCGTCTGAACTGAACGGAAGTTCTGACTTTGCGGCTCTTTTTGTCATGACGGCCACGGACTACGGACTTCTTAGCTCTCAGAGCCTTTTCCTTTGCCTTGACCACACCGGAGTCAGCCTTAGCAGGTGCTGCAGACTTTTCATCCTTCTTTGCCACAGTCTCTGCAATACAAGACAACATACGAGATCCAAATAATTTTTTTTAAAGGAATTGACCCATACATGAGACAGGTCTACGAGTAAAATAATACCAAGGCTTCGCGATGTTTTTCCACGAGACGCACTGGTAATGTGATAAGAATACGATGCGGTGCTCCGATGCTGTTGTTGCTTATCTCTTCTGCGCATTGTTTATCGCGCGCGGGGGATAATTTCCAGGCGTCTTTACGGCAATTTTCGCGAGCTTTATTGTCTTTGCGTTTACCGTGTTTTAATTTCAAGCATCAGCGTTCTTACTATTCTGAGCATCAACGATCTAAGCGATCTTCCATCACCAGAGCATGGCTGATGTGCTGCAGTTAGCCGCAAGTGTGAAATTTTGGTGCTTTTTTTTGTAGTTCCCATCCCCCTTATTTGAGCCTGGATCTAAACGTCTGATGCGCGGCGATTTAAGATATCAAACCTAACAACCGCAAAACATCAAATTCCCCTGAAACCCCCACCATACCAGAAAATCTTTCTTCCAAGCACAGCACCAGCTTATCCAACACATCTTTCATGTTTGTAATCATCACACTCGCACTTTCTCTCACATCTGCAGTCTTCTTTTTCATCCAGATCTTTTTTCAAACACTGCTGAGGTTTGGTTAATGTGAGTGTGTTCGCACTTGCCATGACAAAATGGACACAATGGTCAAGCTGAGCAGTGTCTGAGTAAATCTTTGATGAGATTTCAGACAAGTCTTACAGGATGTCTTTTTATACCCCCCCCCCCCCCCAAAAAACCTCTACCCATAAAAAAACCCAAAGAAGAAGAAGGAGGGAAAATAACATTTTCAGCTTTTCCCCTCTCTCTTCCACAAGTATCTTAACCCCATACTTCGCGACGTTCAGACTTTGAATGAGCTTTTGGTAACCCCAACAACCGGTGCTCACAGGATGCCATATCTTGTGACTAAGGTTCACTGACCTGCCACGGTGGCGAACCCGACAAGACGCTTGTATAACTTTCTTTTCTTTTTTTTCTCCAAAAGTGACAGCACAGGACAAATATTGATTTATTTTCATGGCGGTACATTTTTTAAAAACAAAAAACAAGGGCACGGCAAAAATTGCCGCGGTTAACCCTTTGATTCTAAGGGCATTACGGCAAATTGCCGCAGTCTATTTCAAGCCCTGAGGGAAAGCAGCCTGGAACTTCTGCCCAGGCCACGCGGGGGTAACCAGCAACGGGAGAGCAGACAAGCTGGCTGGAGACTGCCGGGAGAAGCAAAAGTGGGGGACGGAATTTGACACTGGACCCAACAACTGTCCTTACGGGAGGACTTCCGTAACGAGCGACCACTATGAGACAGAGCAAAATAGAGGGCTAGCGGTAGGGCGGGTAGATCTATGAGTAGGGGTCGGAGTAGGGTTAGGGTTAATCTAGGCCTCTTCTTTATTTTACCACAATTTAATGTTTTGCAGTTGTTAGGTTTGATATCTTAGCTTGCCGCGAATCAAACGTATATAGATCTAGATGTAGGTCAGGCTCAATCAAATAAGGGGGGTGGGAACTACCGAAAAAGCGCCCAAACGTGTACATGAGACGGGTGTATTAGTTTAGTTTAAAAAATACCGTTCCCACCCACACTCTAGGTAGATTGAAGAAGGGGATCCAAAGAGAAGGGAAACACAGCCATCTGTGCGGACCAGTGCGACGGATCTCCAACCAGATTATGATGGAGACTAGATCTAGAAATGGCAGACAGACTGTGGGATGGGTCCTGACTGAAGGCTGAAGGCGAAGGCGGAAGGGGGGGGTGAGAGCAGAGACGGACATAAAATATGACATGCCGTTAAACTTAGAAATGACGCATCTTTCTGATTGGCTGCTAATTTTAGTAATGTAATGTCATCACTTCCTGGGATACCCACATGGAACGACGTGTTTTCGGTAACATTTCGGATTTTCTAGCCTAGATCTAGATCTAGAATCTAGATCTAGATTCTAGATTAGATCTAGATCTAGATCTATTAGGCCTACCTGGACATGATGGAAGACCGCACGAAAATTGCCGTAAAGACGCAGGAGGACTAGATAATATCTAGATCTAGATATCTAAATTTAGATCTACCAACCCCCCCCCCCTCCTGCATGTTTAATCACTAATACATTTTAAAAAATAAACAACTTCAAAGTCAAAGCAACTCTACAAATTAGGCCTATAATTTATGGAACTGTTGGTCAGTCGGGAGGAGGAAAAGAGAAAGAAAAACTGTCCGGGACCGGAATCGAACCGCTCCAAAAGTCATTGCTCGACATCAAACGCAGACGTGCTATCAAATCAGCTATCAGAACTTCCGAAAAATGGTGTAGATTAAGCATAATATATACATAGACACTTCCATCTTTGGTGCCGTGCGGTTGTCTATACTTAGATGTAGTCACGTGATCGGAGGGGTATCCTGGTCTGACGTCAAACAAGATGGGCGCCTTACCTAAAAATAGTTTGCATCATTTCTACTTTTAATCGCATGTTAAAATATGGGCCATGCCGACTGCAGTGACCCCAATCCCAACACAGTGGACAAGTAAGACAAGAAGTAAGTAATTGAGGTACAGATTTAGAAATATGCTGATGATTGAGGCAAGTAATGTGAGTAAGGTCATCTGTTACTCAAGTTCAAGTTCAAATACTGAGTGGATCATGTGGCTCCTGCTTGCTCTTATCGATAATAGGGGATTCACGATAATTCAGGCTTCAAATGTGGACAATTTGTTTCAATAGCAGCTTTTTCGCTCTAACAGACAAAAGGAATACATTGAATACGTTCAAAGTATTGAGCATATAATATAATTTAGACTTCATAACGAAAACTACGTCTACAAATAAGATAATTTGGAAAAAATGCTCACTCGCTGCGGGTTTCTTTGCCTTCGGACCCATGTTGATGTTGGAAAAGACCGGAACAGGGAGCCCACATTGCAGATCACGGAGGCCGCTATTGTGAAGAGCTCAGAATGTCCAGATTTCTTTCCTCTGCACTGAGAAGAACTCCTTTACTTCGCGGATATGACAACTGGTCTTGCATGTTAGGCCCTACTGGTAAAACCCGCTGTAACAACGGTACTTCGCGGAGTAAATGTTTTCTTCCACTAGGCCTATATAGTATAGAAGGCGTTGGCTCAGAGACTTGCTTGCAGTTGCATTGCTCTTTGTCGTGTTGGTGTTACTTCAGTTGTAAATGACTACTAGATCTAGATTCTATACGTGACAACTTAATCTCAACACAGTTGCGAATGTGATGTTCCTCTTTTGTAACGAACTTTGTTAAAGACTGAGGACACTCAACAAAAATACTTTGCCGTTGCCAAACACAGTCCTCTCTTCTTGTCGAAATTAGTTCCATTGGTACTCCCAGTTCCAGCAGCTTGACAAGTTGATTTTGATTATCTTCCTGATCCTGCCGGGCTGTACTAGAATATTTCTGGACCTAGATCTAGATCTAGAATCTATCAACACCTACAAGAATCTCTACAGTTACTTTACTAGATCTAATAGGTTTCTGTCGGGGAATAGAGGGGAAGAAGTTGCCAACATCTGATCGAGTAGCAATCTTGTGTCACAGTGTCAGGAAAAGAAGAGTCATGAATCGCAAACCGATCGTACAAGTCAACGATGCTTTTCCTCAGAGAAAACGAATTGCTCACCAATCTCGAGGTAAGAATAATGTTGGTAGATCTAGATCTATATGGTTAATTACAGTACCACCATGTCCATATATATCATGAATGCTATGATAGCAGCTAGGGTATTTTTTTACTTTCCCTCCCGTCTCACACTCAGCTACCAGTTGTCTATTTTCTACTAAATATTGATGCGCTGAACACGAATATCAACTTCATTTCCGTCGCAAATTAATAGTTTTTGAAATATTTGATTGTTTTTAACCGAGATAGACATGCTTTGGACCAATGGCAATGGGGGGGGGGGGGGGGGGGGGGTTCCAGGGGGGCCTGCCCCACTGGGGTAAAAGAAAATCTGGGGGGTTACAGGGGGGCATGCCATTCTAGATTCTAACTACATATTATGACATATAAAAATTATAAACAACATGTCATATTTATAGGCCTTCGCAGTATAATCCACATATATAGATTTATATATCGACAGCCGATATATTGACATTTTGACATAGATCTAGATCGACATATTTTTCAGATTCCAAAATTTTTCCTTCAATATCTTCACTAAACAATTTCTCACGACTTTTTTTTCGACCCACTCTGCTTTATCGACATACTCCCTGGGTACCTGGCGAAGCCCACGAACATAAATGGGGGGAAAATCCACGCTAATGGTCATCACAATAGTTCTTCGTTAAGTCCACATACCCGCCAAGTAGCCTATTCAACACACCAGGCTTTAGTAGGTCATTATAGGGCCTACACACAGTGTAGTCTCCGACACAGTACAGTGCCTCAAAGTAAGACATGAGTGTCTAGGGTGCTGGGCATCACCTCTCTAACCCCACTCCTGATTGTTCACTTTCCTTCCCCATCCCATTCTTAGTCTGTCGCTGGCAAGTGCCTTGGTCTGTGACTGTGAGTCAGTGCCTTGTCTTTCCATTTTCCCCAACAAGGGACCATAAACAGGCCTCCTACAACAAAGTTTGCGCTGGTGTGTAGTGTGCGCCTCGCGCTGCTCGTCTTTGGTACTGTAACTCCAACCCCCCCCCATTTCCCTCTCTGCCTCTTGTTAGTTTCACTGTGTAGTTGTGCAAGAATCAAGGGAAGCAACCAGCTTTAAAAAGTAGTATTGCCTTTTTTACCACTGACCTCCCCTTGTTTTTCCTTTATATTTACATTTATCGACGTTTTTGCATATCGACATCAAGTGTTTCTTAAAACATGTCGATATTATAAAAGCGGATTATAATACTGTAGGCCCTAATTATTTTTATAAAGTCCCATTTTGTCTAAACTAGACTACACTCTCTGTATTTGTTGTGTGTTAGTGTTAGTTATAGCTTGCACATTAGTCTGTAAAGTAAATGTAGATATTGTCACCGTGTACATTTTTTGCGGTCTCATTGAAGCTGTTAGAACTTTTCATGCTCTTAAAGTCTTTGCAGATGACACTTCGGCTCAAGAATTAGTAATTATTTTACATATAAACGGTAAAGCGTCTTTTTTATCTCAATTCCTTTCACAGACCAGGTAAAAGGAAGCTCTTCCAAGAGTGTGGCGCAAATTCATAGTAAGGCCCCGAAGGAACTTGAAGTCTTGAAGCAGTTTGATTTGACATTAGAATTCGGACCATGCATCGGTAAGATAATAATTTCAATCTTTCACTTGTAACTGATCTGATAAAAGACGTGTGAATGGAGTTTGAATGTTTGTATTATAAACTAAATAGGTTAATACAAGAAACTGCTGATTGTGAGACTTTTGTGTATATAGGCCTCTATTCTTTGAGTGTGACATTTTTTAAACAACCTAGTTGGATTTAGAATACCGAGTCTTGGGGTATCATTTTACAGCCCCAGGCTTTACTTTATAGGACAAAAAGAATCTCATTCAGTAGGGAATGGAAAAACTTAAACCACGTCTGCCTTGACCTTGACTTTCTGCATGTTCCTTCCCATAGTTTCTACTTATGTTGTGTGTCGTAATATTAACGTGTGTCTTTATACCTGGAGTAAATAGTTCATCTGATATTTTTCCACATTTGATATCAAATGGCTTTTACTTTTTAAAAAAAAGGATTCTACCTTCCCAGTCCAGAAGACTACTTTTGCAGGCAATGAAAAAATAGTTATTAAGGCTGAGGTTATTTCAGACACTTACAAGGGATCTATGGCTTTAGACCACTTTCTCCAAAATGACAGAGCCCAAGAAAATGGAAAACTGAGAACTAAGGAAAATCTCTTTATATATTTAATCCATGTTCTAAATGAATCAGAATACTCTCTATATGCTTTGGAAAAAGATTACATGCTCTGCAGTCTAGCATGAAATGAAGTGAATTGATGTTGTTGAATTTCATGCCTTTCACTTTCATCTGGGTTTCTCATTAAACTTTGTTTGCATTTTTGTTTTCAGGCATATCCAGGATGGAAAGATGGCAAAGAGCACAGAATTTTGGACTGAACCCTCCGGTAGAGGTTAGAGACATCATCAATCAACATTCGGACGATGAAATTTACACCCAGTGGTAAGTTATCCCTCTCTTGATATGGTCTACGTTTGGCTTAAATCAAGAAGATTTTAGATTTTAAAAATTACAGCTGAATCTGCTTTAACCCTATCTGTACTTCATGTTTTACTGTCGTATACATACTTCATGGGGAACTCTGTGCCACCACTTTCCAAAGAGGAAATTTACTCGTTAATCCGATCCGTACGCTTTGCATAGCAGTCTGTCAAAATGATTTTTTGAAAAATACTGAAAGTTTCAAAGAGATCTTCGCATTAGAAGTATTTTAAAATGTGAAAAATACAACCCCGGGGAGCAAAATGACCGCGGGGCATACGGATAGGGTTAAGGGCCACCTATATTAAACAATCACTGTAAAAATGACCACTTCTCACTTCACCCCTTTTCAATGTAATAATGACACTGTGCAAGACCTCCACCTTACTAAGACAACCACTTTAAATTTCTCCTAAACAATGTGTAGCCGTCTTGGACAGTTTTCCCTGTATGTTGTATATTGCTTCTTAAGAAGTATAGGCAGATAACAGCATTTAGAGAATCTCATAACCTTGAAAGTGTTGAGTGAAAACATTTGGAATATAATATATTTAAAACTAAATATTTTTGTTTTTAAAAGGGCTTTGTTTCATCTAGCTAAATGTCAAAAAGTTCATATCACAGAGGCAATATCCTAAAGCAATGGGTTTCGATCTGTTTACAATAAAAATACATTTGTGAAGTGTGCTGACAAAACGAGTTACTTCTCAGATTCAAGCCATAAGGAAATAGATACAGTATACTTATAGGTGAAGTTTTCACAATTTATAAGTATAAAATAATAGAAGGACAGGTTATGGTTAAAGAATATGGCATCAATTGAAAATCTACAATTTTGACCTTAATGTCAATTTTTAGCCAATATCTCCATTTATGGATTGCGAGAAGTAACTCATTTTGTCAGCACGTCTCACATTTAGATTTCTTTTCATCTTTCATGTTAGCCACTCCTGTGAGTCAAATGTGTGACCCTTTAAAATTTTGTAGAGTGTAGGTCCATTTTCCTGAGGATGTAATTGTTGATAGAAACATTATAAAGTTTAACTGTTTTTTATCATTTCAAGCCCTTGTACTTGTTCTTTGGCGAATACATTTTAAAAATCAACTGAATTGATGGAAAAATATTACCACTATATTTTTTCTTTAATGATTCATACTTCAAGTTGTCTAAATGGCTCTGACTTTAACAAATTGTATTGTTCTATTTTGCAACAGCCTGTGGAATGACTATTCCTCTCTGAAGTAAGGAATGCAGAATGTTTAAAGGTCTGAGATCATCATCTGCCGTCCCAAAAGAAGTGTGCAAGTGGTCCGTAGAACGATAAAATTGGAAAACAGCGTCTTTTTTGACAGTGATGACATCCATTCTTTCACTTTGTTGATGCAACTGTCAAATTATGATCTTGTTTCATGATTTCAGCTCTTTGAATTGCTGTTTTAACTGTTTAGTGGACATCGCTGTATCTGTACTGAAAATATGAAGGCTTTTGGAGGCTATTGTTCTTAACTCTCCACTTGGGCTGGTGTTTGATTTAATCATTTAATTTCAATCCCTGTCAGATAAGATCCATTATTATATTAGTGGTGTGGATGAAACAGAAAATCTGCAAGGGGTGAACTACGAGCTTAGTTTGTCGGGGTAATGTTTTACTTTTACTGTTTAACTCATTATTTTGTTATTTATGAAAATTAGTTCTTCATCTGATTGTGTTTTTAAGTCTCTTTTGTGTCTATCATTCCACAATATGTTTGCTGAACAGATTTTCAGTATATATTTGAATGTTATCTTCACAGACGTTGCCGTGTTTTTTGCTGTAGACAATGTCTTTGCAGTTTATGTAGACCTGGGTGTATTGGGTAATGGTAGTTAACAGTTTTGCTGTTGCACACAAAAGATGTGAGTTTGATTTCACAGAGAAATGATTTCATTGAATATATCCGTCTGTCTGATGCGATGTTGCATCTCACTCAGCTAAGGATGCCCTGGATTGGCAAGGTTGAAGCAGTCTGCCTCAAGCCTGATATGAATTAAGTGGATTGCGTCATAGAACATATTTACCCTCAATTTACAATCTCAATCAGTACTACTATTAGCCCTACTATACTCCCTGCCCAATTTACTGTTTAAATGAACATCTTTTGCTTTTTTTATAAAGGTGAAGGAATGCTTGGAACTTCAGTTTATTGGTTACTTACTTGTCGTAAATTTGGTAGGCTATCACTTTGATTCAAAGCAACAATTTCTGTTTTTATTTGATAACCCGGTGAAATGCTAAGTTTTATAGCATTTTCAGTAATTTGAGCAACTGAATTCATACATCATGACCTTTAATTATGTTGTGCGATTGTAAGTTTTGATATATTGAGATTACACTGATGTTTGAAACGGTCCCTTTGAATGACTAGAAGATTTGATCAATTGTGAAAAATTACATTTTTGTCATGACAGTGATAGCAAACCATCTTGAGCTTAGCAGTATTATGACCTAATGTGCCCTTCTCTTGTGCCATTTAAAGGAGTGTTTTTGAAAGAGGTCTAAATTAGTATTTTATGTGGAACATTCTGTGATCAACTTGAAGAGATTACATTCTTTTCGGCTCTGAAATGACCTGAGACTCAGACCATTTTCTTAATATAATCATCAATATTTTGTGATTGCAGTTAAAAAAAAAAGAAGATTTTTTAACAGGTTTCCATGAATTTAATTCAATGTTTCTAAAAAGGTATAGACCTATTAGGTTCAAAGAGGAGATTTTTAAGTAACAGAAACCTGGCCTTTGGCTATTTTCCAAAAATCAGTCAGACAGAATTTTTAATAAGAAGAGAAGAAAAAAATAAAAAAAGAATAAAATAGGCTACCTGTTATTTGTTTTTAAAAATCTGTAAATAGTGCATTCTTTGTTTATTTTTAGTTTCTAGATTCTGCAATCTTAATATATATCAAATCAATCTGTTTGGACTTCTCTATTGACATTCACCCCTTGGCGCTCATATGACCGTATGCAGTTGCGAGCATCGTAAGACCTTACTAAAACTAAAGCATAATTTATCCATCTTTAATTAAAGAAGTGGTTTCTTACTGTTGGAGCACTCCTCTTCACTTTTTGTTTGCCCTCTTAAGCTTTTGCATGATTAAAATTGCCATACTCTTATTTTTTTATACACTTTGTATTAGATTATAATACATACCTGTAATTAATGCTGTTATTATGTTTGTTTGTACAAAAGCTTTACAGTAAAACGACTGTTTTTATTTTTATGCAGAATGGGATTTTTATATTTTCTCCTTATGACAGGTTTTGTTGTCAGAACTTATTTTATCTGCAAGATTGCTCATTGCTCGTCTGTGAAGACATAGTTTATTGATTATTTTGAAACCATAAAATCACTATACATGATATATATGATATATACCTTGTATTCTGTTCTAAAATACCTTTGTATAATTACTCGAAATCATTGCTTACTTTTAGGGATTTACAAAGTACTACAAGCGTTCTTCCATTCCTAAGCTAGTGTTGTCTGTAGGATAAAGTAAGTTTAACTAACTTTGCTTCATTAGGGATAGATTTAATTTGTCTGGTTTGATAGACTAGATCTACGGAGAATTATTTTGTAAAGAAAAGTACAGTCTTGCATACACTTCTCTCAGCAAACATGTACATAACGAAACACGCACACAGAGAACAGATTTCAGGTCAGGAAATTTTTCACGAATAAGTCTATTCTTTGTATTTCTATTTACTTACTAAGAGTGAAATTTGTACATGATAACACATGATAACGATTTCCATTTCCTGCCAATTTCACGATATGTGCATGCTAGATTGTAGTCTGCTTCCAATACCATGTTTTGTGGGCAATTTTTTGTTCATTGTATTACCTGTGTCAAGATTTAAAAATTACATAATATGTATTTGATTTGCAACAGTGCAATAAACATTCAAGTTTAAAATTTTTGTTCTTGTATCATACTATTTTGATAAAAGCAAATTTATATTTGCCTACAAGCTCGAATGACTGCTTATACTTAATAACTTATATGATTAAGTGTGTGTGTGAGTGTAAATGAATTTCTTCTCGTGTTGTGTCCATCTTTTGAAAAAACATTTTGCTTCTTCAAGCGCCTGTGGCTGGTGGACAGTTTGTTCAGAGTCGCCTGCTTCTACAACTTTTTTTTTCAATGTAACTCTCTGTATGTGTAGTTCTGTGGTCCGACACTGCTCTTGTCAAATCTGGCAACTCGCTGCAAAGCATAAATTGACACATTATGATAAGCTTTGCAAACATTTTGGCATTGATGTTTTCCTATCCTTAAAAAAGAAAAAAAGATATCATTTGCACTTTATGGCTTTAGAACCCCCTTCATCAGCACAATTATTAATGGTGTCTAGTAAGGCGTTAGTATAGCAGACTACCATCAGCAGAAGGCCAAAATCAAAATCAATGTTGCCACATTTTTCGAACCATCAAGTTTTTAGGAAGAAAACAGAGTAGTAGAACATAATGTGTGAATAATGCTTTTCTTTGCCCCAAAACAGCGCGCCCTCAAGCATTTTTTAATTACCCGAATGCGAGAGAAAAAAATGTTTATCGAGTACCTCGCGGTCTTTCTGCTGGGGTGTTGAAGTTAAAGTTGTGTCCGTCTCAGCCAGGGTTGGCTTTGACAGACGCAGTGGTGAAAGCCCGCCTCTGTGAACGATCTAAATTATGTGGCGTAAATAACGCCAAGACTAAAAAAAAGAAGCTCTCAGAGAAAAAAAAAAAGAATATATATACAATTACTGATAAACATTTGTTTGAGAGGCGTCAGCTCGAATCCATACATGTACATGTATTGGAGAATATTGTAACAGGCAAGTTTGATGGAAAGAGAGGCAGAGGCAGACAGAGGGAAAAGATACTGGGCAAGATGACAACATGGCTAGGAGCAGCAAGAACAACAGACACCATTACTGCAACGCAAGACAGAGTGAAGTGGAGGTCCATGATCGCTCACGCCAGTCGGCAAGGCACCGGATGATGATGATGATGATAATATATGAAAAAGTTTTCCTTCGAAAAGGGAGTGAATATGGAGACCCCGAGTGAAAAAAAGCTGCAATCGAAGAGATATTCAAAACGTCATCCCTCAGTAGTGGTTGTTTTGTTGTTGTTGTTTTTCTTGTAAGCGTTTCACGGTCCTCGCAACTGCATAAGGTCATGAATATGATCGCACGAGGCATATTTAAACATTTTCAGTGTAGTAGGAATTAATGTTTAATTTTGCCAAGTTGGCGACCAAAGTCTGCTCTTATCGATTTTGGACCACCAAGGGATCTTTAACGTGCGCAACTTGCACACGGGACTTCCGAGATTTTTCGCCCTTATCCGAGAAGGCTAGATGTTAGATCTTTCTTATCTTAAGTTCAGCGGTGTGGCTGAAAGACAGCCGTTAGACGGGACCAAGGAGTAGCTGTAGGAAGACTGCAGAAAGAGGAGCCAGATGATGGGGCAAAAAAGGGGGGAGGGGGGGGGGTAGAAAGTGGAGACGAAAGCAGACGACAGAGCATAGTTAAAGAGTAGGAAAGAAGGTGAAAGGTATAATTTTTTAAGTAAAAATTTTGTCAACGCTGTTAGGTTTCGAACCCGGGACCTATTGGATGAGAGGCGAACACCGTAACCTCTAGACCACGAGAGCCCGCGTTGTGCAGTCTGGTCAAATCTTGTGGCGCGGGAGTGAAAATGTGTTTTGTTTGCGTTCCTCGTTTTGGTGCAAGTGGCCTCACACACACACACACTCACACACACACACACACACACACACACACA